AGGCTACACCACATGATACTATCTATATGGCTACTTCATATCCTGATCTTCAGATATATATATCCTCACTCCTGATCCCTTGCATTGTCACCTGCTTCATCAAAGATCATCTGGAATGCTCTTGCCTTTGGCTTTGGTGGCACATTCGATTTTGCTGCTTCATTTTTCTTCGGACAGTCCCTAGAAATATTCTCTTCTTCATTACATCTGTAACACATCCTCTTGTTGAATGTACACTCATTGTCGTAATACCCAGTCTTCCCACACTTGAAACAAGTCACCTCCTTGCCACATTTTCCAGAGTGTTTCTTTTTGAACTTCTCACACCACTTGGCTCCATACCTTTGGTCATCCAGGTTAGATTTCGATAATCTTCCTTTCTTATCAGATCTTGAGGATCCTTCAAGCTTCCTCTTTTCTCATGCCTTATCTTTTTCAAGACCCTTTTCTCTTATCTGGGTATCTACATTCTTAGCTACCCAGATGGCGACTTTCAAGGTGGTCGCTTGTTTGACCATTGGACCAAAGTCTGCCGATAATCCATTGGCAAACTTGTTGACCTTGTAGAGTTCAGTTGGAACTCGGTAAGGAACAAGCTTTATCTTCTTCGTAAAACTTGCAACATACTCGGTGACACTCATTCTTCCCTTCCTTAGGTTCTGAACCTCGTTGTTGATTTCCAGTAGATCCTGCTCAGAGCAGTACTGCATTTTTAGTTGCACCAAAAAGTCTTCACAATTCATCTTGCTAGCTTCTCCCTTGGGCGTGGTATCAGCTAGTAGCCTCCACCAACTTAATACCCCAGTCTTCAACAGTGTAACCGCAAGGGCGGTCTTCTGTTTGGTGCTACAGTCGTAACTTTCAAACATCATCTCCATCTCGGAGATCCAATCCATGACTTCCACCGGTGTCGGGCTTCCAAAAAGACTCGGTGGCTTGGATGCCATGAAATCCTTGTACTTGCACCCACGTCCATCATTTCCTCCATTGGTTTGGTTTCTTCTACCCACTCGTGGCTCAAATTGACTGACAGTTTGACTATAGTTTCCTTCCTCTGACTGTTCAATGTTTAGTTCAGGCTGCTCAACAAGCATAGTAGGTTCATTCCTATTCTGTTGAAGTAGATGTCTTGTTTCTTCCATATGACGATCCAACATCATTTGTATCATGGCTTGTACTCCTGCCATCGTGATTGGCTCGGGTGCAGCTGCTGGTGCACGCTCAATCACTTGTGGCTCAGGCTGATGGTTTCCATTAGCATTTCCTAATTCGCTGCGAGTTATCACCATTTCGATCTATACACTCTAGCAGATGTTCAATGTACTGCGACGAGAATTAAGATAGGGAAATCAGACGTATAAATCTCCTTATCACTCCTAAAAGTTACATGCCAGTTCTAATATCGTAATTAAACATTTAGAATCCTGTGCACATAAAATTTCCAGATTCGGTCGGCAACAGACCGTAGATCCGTTCAAACAATAGCATCATAAAGCATATAAGACATCTTATAACATAAATCAATTAGCACATAAAAGAAATTTAGGTATTTTTCCTAAAATAAGCTAGTGCTCGTGTCTATTCATGCGTACTTCCTAAATATAGCAGACACTCATCTCACAATCATCGCTTAACATTCTAAGTTTAAGTCTAGAAATTTCCTAAAATTCCTAGTTCGCTTAAACTAATGCTCTGATATCAACTGTGACATCCCTAAATTGACGGTCATTTTAAAAATTTTATTTATGCTTATTTAAAAATCAGAGTATCCATTTTAAAGAATAATATCACAAAATTTGTTCCCAGAAAACATGATAAAGATATTATCAAAACATTTCCGAAGAAATGTATTTTGTTTATATTAAAACATTGGGATGTCATCGTCAATACAGAAAAATAAGCATAAACAGACCTTACATTTATTTACACTAATGATTTACATCTCCTTTAATCTCTCAGTGTAATGTATCTTTGTATCGACACCTGTGATACAAATAAACTGAATGGGTCAGGTTGGGAAACCTGGTGAGTACATAGCGTTTTCAACCCACAATAATATAATTAGTATGTTTAATCATCAAACAATTAACCCAACTTTCCATCCCCATTATCTTCTTTATTCTTAAGGATCTACCCTAAGATTCATCTATTCTTCGTTCGTTCATTCCTAAGGATTGTCCTAAGGAATAGACACGAAGTCCATCGCTGGCAGGGTTTAACTAACACGCACTAAGTCCATAGTTGCCGATGTTATCTATTAGGATCAGCAGCCAATATTATTCTTTAGGTGCAACTGCCAGGATTATGATGTTATCTATTAGGCACAGCTGCCAATATTATCCTTTAGGCGCAGCTTCCAGGATTTTTTTAGAGTACATCTGGTGAACACGTAGTTCAAAAACACCTACAGGTTGTGGCGCAACTGCCAATGTTCATATATAAGGTACTAAGTCCATAGCTGCCAATGTTTATCTATATCGTCTATCATATCTTATGATTCATCTACTCATCTTTACCTAATATTTTAATAGGTATAAAATACATATACAGTTTAAATCAAATAAAACATGTATATTTTGTTCATCCAAAATAGATATCAAGAACAATGATAATATGCACACATAACACGTAATTTATATTAAATACTTCATATCTATGTGTAAGATGAAAGTAACTATGCACCCACTTGTTAAAGTGACGACTCGTAATTCGAGCAGCGTTTCGCTTCTAACAATTTTATTTTCCTTCGATGAAACCTAATATCATTATCACTAGATTTTAGTCTAATATTTATTGTGACTAATTATTAGTCTAGATTTATCGTTAACTCAAGGTCTACGAGCAATATTGTTTTCTTGTATTATTAAAGTGTTAAACAATACTTTTCAACTACTATGTACATACTAGGGCCAGACATGAAACACCGGAGGGAAGGACCATTTTGGCATTTAAATTGTTCTGAAATCCAACAACCTTATGCAACTCTTCAAACCAGATTCCCCCTACCACGAGTAGTTAAAAGGTATTATAATAAGACTTTGCATAATTTATAATACTTATCTCATGTATTGTTTATAGGTTCATAATAATGATAATGAACTTAAACATAAGTTATACTTAAAGTAGGGTAAGCATAACTCACTTACAAGGGGTTTAGCTAGGAACCGGGCTCTGCGGGGCAGAACTTTTGAGCTGAAAGATCTTTTTATCGGAGCCTTCTGGCACTCCGTGACTCGCCTCTAACACCTAGGAAGTGCTAGGGAAAGGAAGAGGGGGTATGGGGATATTGGGAGAGAGTGAGATAAGAATGGTGTGAAGAAATGAGAGATTTACGCCTCTATTTATAGGCTAAGGAATGGCTCAACACGACGTGTTATGAGCCCCTACACGACATGTTGGTGTGCCAAGTGTCACCATCTGATGGCAAGCCATGGTGAGGAAGCAGTGGCTCAGATCGCGCCACGTGTCACTCGCAGATTACTCCAAAAAATAATTATCTTCTAAAATCCGTAACTTTCACATATGAAGTCCGTTTTTAACATTATTTATATCCACACGTAGGTATCGACGGGATCTACAACTTTCATTTAGACTTTGTCGACTAGTTTTGATTTTATTTTGAAAGTTATATTTTAACAGGCTTAGACAATTAAAGTCTGTTAAAAATTCATAGCTTTGTCACCCGATGTCCGTTTTTGGCTGTCTTTACATCGTTGAGCTCCTATTAATGAGATCTTCAATTCTCATTTAGGTTATGTCAGCTAAAAATCGATCGATCTAAAATTCGATTTCCGGGCTGTGTACTGCTATGCTAAATCTTAGAAAAATCATAACTTCCTCAAACAAAGTCAGATTTAGACGTTCTTTTTATGTACGTTCTTGGTTTAATATATACTACGACTTTCGTTTAGATTGTTATGGCTAAAAAGTAGTTTATCGAAAATTCACTTTTTACGATACCCGGTGCCGTGCCGGTTTTGTCGCAAAACTTCGACGGTCATAACTTCTTCGTTATAAGTCGGATTTCAGCATTCTTTATATGTACATAATCCTTGTGACATATAATATAATTTGGTTAAAATTATTTATTCTAAATAATCTTCTATCAAAAAGTCATTTTTTAACGCTTATTGTATCTAAATTGACCAGCTTGAATCTGCGGGCGTTACATGATGTGCATATGGTTTGTTGTCCTTGTTAGTAAGGCATTTTGTTCCTTGTGTTTTTGTTTCTGGTGGTAGTAGTTGGTGGTTGTGGTTGGTGTTTTTGTGATCATGTTGTTGTGATGATCAATTTTTTATGGTAATCATAGGTGATGGTAGTCGTATGTAGTAAGATGTAGGTACAAATCCTGTTTAATAGATGTAAAGATGTAACACAAACCCATGAATGAAATGTTGGTTAAGTTAAAATTTTGTTGTTATAGCTCTAAATGTGCATGCGTGATTAAGTAATACCCATACTTGTTGTTTTTGTGCTTGCCTACTTGGATAATTGTCTGGATAACCTTAAATACCCCTAATGGGTTAAGTCACATAAAAAATACTTAAGTCACAACACCCATTCATAGTTACCTGACACAAATGACTAAAATACCGCTAATGGTTTACCCGCTTTGAAATACTAAATTTCCCTTTTTGTTTATATAACTTAAATGACAATAATACCCCTACCAGTAACTTCTTTGATTGACTAAAATACCCCTACTTTATTAATTACTTGAAATAACATACACCTATTGGATTAACTGCTTCGAATGACTAAACTACCCCTAAACTAACATTACTGCCCAAAGTATCTCAAATGACTAAACTACCCCTACCTGTTTAAATATTTGTAATGACTAAAGTACCCCGTACACTCTAAATAAGATCATACATAATGTAATTACATACACGAATTCAAATATCAAATGTTAAGATTAGTATAACATACATGAACATAACAAACATAAGTTCCCTTGTTCAATCCACGTAACAGACACACAATTAAAACTGTAATTAATCTAACTCCATTGGCGATCCAAAACTACTACATTCACGTTGAACCTTTTTAGCAAGCTTTAGATTAATAATTCTATCAGACTTTTTCCTCTTGCTTGGTTGACTTGTAGTATACACATGCCCAACAACTTGATTAACCCTTCCCAGCTCCTCAACTTCATTAACCCTCACCACTTCCTCAGATTCGTTTACCCTCACAACTTCCTTAACTTGTGGCTCAACTGCATCACCCATAACAACATCTTCTCCACCCCCTTTCATATTCACTGACTCTTGTGTTTGCATAATCTTTTGTTTCTTTGTGACATTAGTTTTAGGAGGCCTTGGCACTTGAGTGCAAGTGGTCTTGTTGTGTCCTTTCTGTTTGCATAGGCTACAAGAAATATTTTTCCCTGCCTTTGAAACCATGTGTTTTCCAGAACTTTTAGAAGCATCCCTTATTATTTTCATGGTTGGCCTGCCTGGCATTCTTCTTTTCAATGAAGGCAATGGAGGTATATAGTTTATAGAAGGCCACATGTTCATTCCATTCATGCCATTAATGGACTGTTTGTAGGTATTATGGAAGAAAGCTCCCAGGTACAATGGGTCTACATATGGTCCACCAGGTGTGATGTTTAAATACGCTAACGTAGCTACTTAATTAACACAACTATATCCATTTAGTTGCCATAACCTACAACTGCATTCCTTTTTTGTGGCATCAACAATGTACGGCTCATCCATTTTCCTTGTTTTAAACTTCATACCCCTACAAGACACAGCCTCCCAATTCCTATATAATGTAATGCAAATATTTAGAGTTGAGAGAGGTAAGGTATGTATGAATAAATAAGTGTGCAAACCTTTGGTCAGTTTGGAGAATATTCAATCTTGTTCTGATGTTTGGACAAATAGAGTAACGATTCCATCCTCGACATGTTAGTTTCATACTCACCATCATTTGCATCACATATATACGAATGTCCTCTAACATGATGATAATAGGTTTCTTCCTAGCATCCAAAATGACACTATTAAAGCTCTCTGAAAAGCCATTCTCCATAGACTCACAAGATGAATTGTGAACTATGAAAAAAGCTAGAGACCAAGTCTTTGGATCTCTATCCATAAGATGCATAACGACTTCAGGATTCAACTTTTGATTCTCTTTCATGACTATGTTAAAATGTTCTTTAGTTGTTGCCTTGCTTGCTCTCCAAAACAAATTTTTAAACTTGGCCCCACTAAACTTCTTTCTAAAATGGACATATATATGCCTAACACACTGCCTATGTTTTGCTGCTGGGAATATTTCTTTGATTGCCTCAACCAAACCCTACATATGTACCAGGAATGGGTGAAGTTAGAAATGTAAATATTTATTATAATATGTTTAATATTTTAGAAACATACCTTGTGTTGATCATAAATTAAAACCATGACATAGACTTAATTGCACCTGGTTCGAGATAGTCAATAACCTCGCTCCGCTAATTCTTAGTTCCATCACGCAAAAGACATGCTGAAAATCGGACCTTGACCTCAGCCGGATAAAAGCCGGCACAAAAGGCATTCAACACTTCGACAATCCATCTCATACTGACAACCGACTCCCTACTCCCCATGAAATATGGAGTCCCGGAAGCATCAAAATCCATGAAGGTGACTTTGCGGTCCTATGGACAACTGGACTCCAACTCGGCCCAAAGAACCCTAAGGCTCTCATACATCACTGAAATTAACTCATTCCTGATAGAGCTGATCAATCCAGACAAATCCTCTCTAAAGAACCTCGAAATCTCTATAGCTATGATGTGGCGGACATCCCTCTCACTCAGACTTGAATCCCCAACACAGAAGGCCACCATCATGAATCTTAAAGATAACAGGAACACATCAAAATCAAATGACAATGCAAACCCACACTATGAATACCCCCTATAAGTTTCTTGGTATTCCTGAAGCACATCCTTGACCCGAGTATGGATCCTATGCCTTCGGTAGTACATGCCAAATACTACTTTCGACACCTATCCATACCCGTTCCAAAGACTGTTCTAAGACTCACAAATCACTTTACATCACTCCATTAAACTCCTCACATGTATGAATACGTCTAGCCATATTCATAATACAACACTTACTAGACTCTCACTCTAGGATTATTCCTTTCCCACAAACTCACACACAGATCATGCCTCTATAGTAGAATTAACCAAAGATCCCACAACACATACAATAATACACATAGAAGGCATACGAGGCATATACTAATCAGGCAATTCTAGTATGCAACCATGAGCAGGTCCATAACCTATATTCTATTATGCATAACAATTCATAGCACAAATACAAAATCATACGTGTATATTAGGAATTACTTACATCTTGAGCTCCGGTCGACTGTACGCATTACATCCTCCAATTATAATAAAATCTTTTTAGGAGATTTATTTTTCTTGAATAAAAGTATTTTCCTTCAAAAACTTATTTTGAAAACCTATCAGTCATCAGTTTGAGTTCAGACACACTTTAAGGTGCACCCAAATCCCTCAAACCAAGGCTCTGATACCAACTTATAACTTCCCAAAAATTACAAAGAGATTTTTCATTTTTAAAATAGATTAACCAATTGAACCTTTGTTTCAAAAACCATTGAATAACATTTGATTGATTTAAAACCATACATAATCAGAGTTAAGCTTACAAAATCGAGGAATTAAATATCTTTGATGCGTGTGTACAGTCCGTCAAGCTCTTCTCACGAACGACCTGCATAATGTTTAATCCACAACTATAAGCATAAATATTAGTGAGTTACCTAGTATACCACATATTCCACCATACATACAATGTATCCACATACAATCCTAGACTCTAGCATCGAGCAACCAAAACTCCTATCCATACATATATATCATACGTAACGGCCCAACCCAAGAGTTTACGGGCCCAACCCAACTCACATAACGAGCCCCGTCCAAACATACATAACGGGACCCGCCCAATGAGTACACGGGTCCAATCCAAACTCCATTGCCAGGAGCTACATCCTGGTCTTCCATACAACGCCAAAGCCATATATAGTCGGAATCAGATAGGTATTCGAATAAATGATACACCTAAAAGCAATAAATCAGACAAGAACCATGAGTTCAAGATTAGACCAATAGTTCTCAGGCTATCCAACTTGACTATATTAAATCCCTTAGGGTAAACATTCAACAATTAATCAATACTATCATTACCCTAGCCAATCATGACACCTAGCAGTATCATACGATCAACAGGCAATAACCTACCAGTCTAGCATACCAAGACACCAAGTGTTCAAATTACACATACATAACAAGGAGTGATCCTAGTCAACCAACATAATTTTACTCTAACAATACCTCTATCCTACCATACAAAAGGATATACAATGGGATACGTGTAATAGTGAGAAACTCACTCGAACTGAAGAACTGGAGAAGCATAATAACACTCCTACCCCTTGCAGTGATCAATCTAATGAACTGACTAACAACAAAAGAGATGAATCCTCAATAAACAACCCAAATGCTCCAAGTTTGAACCAAAATAAAACTGGTCAAAAATCAATGATAAACGGTAAACAAAAGTCAATGGTCAAGCAAGTTAACGGTTGTCAAAACGTAAAGACCCTTGGCCACATCGTGGGTATGTCAGGACAAAACAGGCGACATGTAGGACATTGCCACGTTGTTGGCCCTCTTTGGTCCTGTCGTGGTTTCTGGCAGAACTCTCCTTTCTTCATTAAGAGCTTAATACTTACATATCTAAGCCCAAAACTTCAGATCTAGTCCTTCACAATGACTTAATCAATAAAGTTTCCAAATTTACCCATTAGGACCTCATGCCAAAGCAAGATCTACAACCTTAAGTCCAAAATGGCATAAATCCTTCACAAAACATGCATGGCTCCAAGAACAAGATCAAACTACCAACTTTCCAACAAGAAAAGGTCCATAAGACAATCCTTAGTGCATAGAAGGGGATGGAGTCATCTCAACTCCAAGCACACCACCAAAAAGGGACCAAATGCATAAAAATGGACCATAAGCTATATCTACAAAACTAAAAGTAAATGTTGAATCTTTATACTCACAATTGTCCAAAAATGAGGTCACTTTGCTAGATCTACACTTGAGGTCTTCACCAAAACACTTTGCAAGCATCTTCATCTTGAAGTTCCACACCAAAACATGAGAAAGGAGCCTTCAAGTAGCCAAGAACACCAAGAACACTCAATAGGGCTAGGGTTTTGAGATAAGAGGGTGGAGTCTGAAGAGAATGAACTAACCCTAAATTTAAGGTCCTTATATATGGGAGAAACCGTAAAAAATCATGGGCTTGGGCTACTGTAGCCACCACGTTGTGGCAACCCTCTTGCCATGTCGTGGTGCTCACCAGAAATACGCGATTCATAAAATCCATGCCACGTAGTGGTCATCTATGCACCACGTCGTGGCATAGGTTTTTTTTTTCCAAAAACCCCATCTTTGATCCCATTAATTCTTCAGCTGGTCCATTTTGGAAAACAAGTGTTACATTAAGGATAACCAAATTCAGTCTATGAAGGATAATCAAGTATGGGATTGGTTGATCCAAATTCTAGTCTTATGATAGTTGGTTGCGATTAGATCTTCACTATTAAGACTAACATGGATAAGAATCTACACACATTCAAAGCTAGTATGGTGGAAAAGAGTTTCGCTTAAACTCAAGAAATTTATTATGAGGAAAAATTCTTACCAGTAGTTGAGAAAATGTCTATTTGGTTATTGGTTACCATTTTTTCCTTTTGAGATATAGTAGAATGGATGTTTAAATGACTTTCTTTAACAGGAAACTTTCAAAGGATGTATGACATATTCTAAAAGGATTTAAACATACAAAGTATCCAAAAAGCGTGTAAGCTTGAGAAGTCTATTCATAGATTTAGGCAAGCATCGCGTAGCAAGAATATGTGCTTCCATAAGAAAAAGTCAAAGAGTGTTGTCTTTCTATAAGTTCAGATAAATCTTGAGTACATGTCAAAGCTAGTGGGAGTTTCGTTGTCTTCATGGTATTGCATGTTGATGACAGTACTACTCATATGAAACATTGTCTCTGAGTTGTTAAGTGCAAAAGCTCAAGAATTGTTTTGCTATGATGGACATGGGAAAGTGACATTGATTGCTTTGATTTGTTTCTTATACTTCACAAACTTTCTTTTTTGTGTGGTGCTTCCAATATCCCAACAAAATGATTTAAGCCTCACGTTTTTGTACTTTTTTATGAGATTGCTTCTGATGTGTCAAAGACAAAATTGATGGTATCCCAATGGCTCTTTCCATTCCTTTAGATTTGCCATTGCATGAATTATTCCTTGATGTCGGTCTAAAATAACACACAATTGTCTG